AATAGTTTTCTTTAAAGGACCCATCGCCTCTTACTACAGGTCAGGTTAATGGAGGTCGGTAGGGTTAGGGTTAGGGTTAGAGTTAGGGTTAAGGTTAGGGTTGGGGTTAGGGTTAGGGTTTAGGGTTATGGGTTAGGGTTTAGGGTTATGGGTTGGGTTAGGGTTAGGGTTAGGGTTGGGGTTAGGGTTAGGGTTAGGGTTGGGTTAGGGTTAGGGTTAGGGGTTAGGGGTTAGGATTAGGGTTGGGGTTAGGGTTAGGGTTAGGGGTTAGGGGTTAGGATTAGGGTTAGGGTTAGGGACCTCAATCATTCTTATTCTCATATCTTCGTATTTCTGCTCTCAATTATCACACTGCAACAATCTCGGTGCAATGAAAAGCTTGCTGGTTCGACAAGAATGCCTAATGGCGTTAATGGTGAGACGATCCCTTGCCTTTGACGATAACTTTCTGTTCTCCTGTCCCAGGATGCTTGAAGGCCTCCACCTGAGCATTGAGGTATCCACAAGCATCATCGGGTGAGATAGTAACTACAAAGTAGTTAAAGTAATGTTAACTGAAGCTTTCATTGTCTATATCGATAAATTCTGATAGCTAAGCAGTTAATTTCGCCAACACTTTTTTAAACAAGAATCAGCCAAAGACGTGGCAAGTACTTACGATGACGGGCGTACCCATTATATAGACCTCGGTAGTGACGTAGTCCTTCAGAAGAGCGTCTGTGTTTTGTGAATAAAGAGCCAATGCTTGTTGAAGATTATAAAGTTCGGGAGACCGTTGAAGGAAAGATCGTTTGAGGCCACGACCACCTGCGTGAAAGTAAATCTGCACAGTTTCCAAGCAGTTGGTGAGAACCTCACATTGGTAGGGCGTAAGGCCTCTGTTCACTGCAGAGCTGTCGCTAGCAAAGTCCTACAACCGATCAAGCTTCATTAATGCGGGAGAAACAGAGGTGGATGCAGAGTGACATTATTTCATACCTGGAGAAGTTTTGCGGCAGAAACGTTTCGTCCTACGTGGCTGAGCAAACTCTGAGCCCCACCAATCAGCCTAGCGGAGGTCGTACCCTTGGCACCAGCCAATCCGATTGAAAGTGCCTACTTATTACAAAAAAATTATTCTCATTAACGCCATCATAGTAATAAATTAATCTAGCGTTCCAATTCGATACCAATTAATCAGCATTTAAATGTGAAGTAGCTATGGTTGGATGATCACACTGTGAACCTTTATTGAATAAAAGCGTTCATATAAATGATTCACCTGACTTAAATCAGTTTCTTTAAAAAAATCGCTAATATAATCATCCCAAGTTTCACGCTAGAAAGGTAGAAAGGCGAGAAGACGAGTCATGTAGGTTCTCAGAAAGTGGAAGATACGTGGTGTTGGAGAGAAGGGAGAGGTAGGTGGTGCTGACCTAGCAATACGACCAGCTTCTCCGAATTCTCCATGGTAATGCGCCAAATCTCCTACAGGGAACATTGAAGAAGTCCACAAAATGGATGTGAGGTCCAAAAAGCTCAAAGTTTTCCTTTGCCACAGTACCTTGAGCAGGCGTTTGAGTACGGTCTTTTCGCACGAACTAGCCTGAGCTGAGAGCACTAACTCAAAGTAGTCCATGAGCGGACGCAAACAGTTCTCGCAATCAGATTCCATTTGTTCAACACCGCCGCTGTGAGTCGGCACTTTACACTACAAAGGAGGGAGCAGCAGGAGGAGCAGTCACAAAAGCAAGACATCACAGCAGATGAGTGATAATTCCCAAGTGCTCCTTCACTTACGCCTTGTAGAACACTACCCATTTCCAATACGCTCATCTGGATGTCCTCCTCAAATCCACTGGCAAAGGCGATGACAAGTAAGTCTACAACATTCTTCAGGCGCACCTGAAGTTTTGTCAATTGTTCCCTAGTCTCCTCGTGAAGATTAAAGCTAAAGGAGGAGAAGATTCTTGTGGACTGTCGCATCAGAGCACTAGACGCACTGAAGAAACTCACTCTTCGCCCTCCATCGCCTCATACACCTTTTCCAGTTGGACGCGCAACTGCTGAGTATTGTTGATGAGGATACAGGCAATGCGGGGACCGCTTTTGAATTGAACAAAGTCCAGTTGAACGCTCTCAGAGTAAGCCAATAACACATTTTCTACGGTCTAAAATGAAACCAACTCTCCAATATATTACTGAAGTAGTCCTGCATTACATCGTTTTACTCCAAAGGATTTAGAAGACTCTCGGGTGAGCAGGGAGCTAAGGGGG